TCGTACGCGAGATAGACGCACACCCCTATTTGCTCGCCAATACACACTGAGTCGTGGGCAAACACCTCTATAATTGCGCCCATTTGAGATTTCGGAGGGAGGGTGCCTCTGATTGACTCAGTTTGAATCGGTTACTTTTGCTTCGGTTCTCGCGCGACGAGCTTCACAGTCGCCCACATCGATACATGCTTAGCAGTCTTATAGTACTTCGACTACAACACGATTCTTCGTCATAACTAAATGGGGCTTTACTTAGCGACTTGAGCCGGCAGCATCTTGTGGCATTGGCAGCAGCAGCGGCAGCAACAATAGAAGTTTTGCCAATAAATACATCGAAGAGACATGTGTCTCCAGCATTGGGTCTGTCCACAATTGCGTCCCTTCCTTTACCGTACGCCCTCATTCGCTTCGTAACTGCTACCCCCAAAGCCGTGTCCTGTATCCGCTGTTAGTATGTAGCTGACGACCGTGCCTTTGTTCGAGTGCAGACTGTTCGTAGAGGCAAGCAGCGTCGACGTAGGCAAAATGCAAGGCCTCTGTCCGTGAGCCTTCTCTAGATTAGTTACACTCGTTCAGTAACGACGGCAAATCATTTTGTCCGCCTATTAGGTGTTATTAAACTAACAGTGTTGGCCGTCTATGTGTATCTGTAAACATGTGTTTGTACACGATCATATGTGTGGATACGTAGCTGTTGGAGCGGCAAAGGCGCACGCCAAAGCTGTTGCTGCCGGCTTCGAAAGACACTAGGAAAACTAAAGGACGCTGAAATAAAGTGAGTGTGTAGCAGGGCCTCCACGCCCCATGTTCACGCCTGGCTCCGTCGATACATCTGTGAAAATGATGATGCCCTATGCTCGCGCTCTGAGACTTCATCGCGAACGAGCAGAAGCCCGCTTACCTATCCAGTTGCTGCTGCTGATTCTTCCTAGATTCGGTGCCGTTACGGTTACTATTCTTGACGCTGCTGTTGGTGCAAATGCCTGCCCGCGCACTCCATAATGTAACCTTTCCTCAGACACTATCTGCTACTACTACTACTGATGCTGCTGTTCGGCGCTGGTTTCTGTGTCTATCGGAAGGGTGCGAGCGGCAGCGGCTCTCCACCCCTAACACCAGCCGCAACAGCTCCAATATATCTTCTTAGCGCCGATTACGCGTCTTTTATTTTTCTTCGTCGTCTCCGTCTGCTTCCCTGTTTCGTCTGCGACGACGGAGCCGCAAGAAGCGAACCACGGACATAAGGGAGTGAAAACAGTGATTTTTCGCGCGGTAACAGAGTTTCTGCTGCTGTTGCTGTAGATATCGTTGATATTGCTGCTTAGCCAGATTTAATAATAGGCTTCATCGACCCCCCCCCCTCCCCTCCCCTCCCGCTCCCCCTCCGTTCTGTTCGGTCTTCGCTCTCTGACTAAAATCGGCGAGGACAAGCTGCTTTCGGCACTCTTTTTTCGTTTGCGCTGAATCGGTCTAATCAACACGGCGCGCTTGTCTTGAAGCAGCTACGTGGAGCCGTAATATTCTCGGACAGATCCACCTTCGAGTGGCATCACATCATATCGGACATCACAGCTTCGGCCAAAGTGTGACTATCACTAACACCATTCGGCTATTACTCTGGTACCTGCTGAGGCAGAGCCAGCAGATCTCTTCAGTAGAGGCTACGCACTTCAATACCTCGAGAGAACTTTGGGACTTCGGCACCTCACGTTCAACAGTAATCGCAGGCAATCCAACCAGCTTCTTTCTCCTCATCGCCGTTGTCGCCGAAACGGTTTGGCGCGCGTTCGCGAAAGCAGGGTGACTGGAATGGATAACAGCAACAGCTAGAACTAAACTGGTCCTGCGGGCCAGCAAAGTTAACCCAGAACACCGTCATTGAGTCCAGACTGCCCAACGATGCAGTCGGAGGCGAAAGTGCATCCCTCTTGGGATTCGCGGTGGTATTTGCGTTTCCGCTACGAATCACTCTGCCTGCGTCGTCATGATGGCCGCTGATACCGATAGAATCATTTCAATAAGAACAACACTAACAATCCACAGTCGCTGTTGATATGGAAGAACGTAGCCAATTTATTAAATGATAGACAGAACAATGTAGAAGTCATCCAGCGAGGAGGAGGCACAATTGAATAAAGATTGCGTGGGGTAAAGGGAAGCGGAAATAGAGAGCTTAGTGACACTTGGTGCAGAGCCTGGGATGCATTCTTCTTCGCCATACTGACTCAATGAATTGACGGTTTTTTTTGCACTTGTTAATAAATCGTCATATTTCACAGGATCCAGTTAGTTCCAGGTCAACAAACATATAAATAGCGCTCAATGGACCTGCGTACTTCGATTGGTGCCTGTATAAAATTAACAACTTTTAATATCGTGTGATAGATTTCGTAATGACGATAGTATTGCATAAGTGTGCAATTCCACATAGAAAATATTATGCGATCAATATGCTAGAATTCTAAGGCAGATAAAAGGCTAAGAGTATACTGTAGGGTATTCGATAAACATCATTTTCGTCCTCTAAGGGTTGATATTTAGCTGGCAACGTTTAACTACATAGTTTAGTCAGTAACGATGCCCTTTATTTACTTTACGCTGCAGTAAAAACGCATTCTCGCTACTCTGGGCCGCTTTCTTTAAAAAAAAAGATCTAAGAAGGCGAGCTTTACTTATTGAAAGTGAACTTCCACCGAATATCTACTAATAGGCGCTGGTCACATTATTATTATATCATCTTCAGTTGTAGATCGTCGCCTGATCGGAAACTTAATTAATTTATGTAGAGTAGCTGGCTACTTTGGTAAGAGAGTGACAAACCCTAATTCCAAAACAATTTGGTTGCCTCCGCATTTGGCGGTGCCGCTGACTTCACCGAAACAGTACAGAGAATGACGACGCTATCGATGTAGTAATAGTTATTATTATTTAATGTGTCGATTTTACACGGCCTCCTGCAGTATCAGGTCACGATTTGCTACCCGGATCCTTCTTCTTCATTCTTTTACTCGGTCTAGCTTTATCCGCGCAGTTTCTTCCCAGTTGATTTGCCGACAGGTTGTTTTTATAAATAATATTATTATTACAATCATAATGTATTCTCTGATTAGATGTTTGGATCGTGATGATTTAATCTGATAATTGTATTATCGTAGTGGCGATCATAAAAAGATATATCGTCTATTTTCCTTTAGACGAAAATTTTCTACGTTAATTGTCTCATCTACCGATACGGTCGTATGCTGGACCTGTCAAGCTGTGAAATTTGAAAAGCAGTGAAACGTTATATACGCAATACGTATGACGTACACGAAACATCGAAACGAAATCATGTGCATCTATCTTCATGTGGTCCTATTTTTGTGCAGCGATACCGTCCCTACTGTTTCTACATACAGAGCGCCGTCTTTCGAATAAGGGATGTCCCTGTCTTAACTAAAATGTCTCAACAATCGTTGCTGAAAATACTCATCTTAGAGTGCGATTAACGCTGATTCGTGCGTCAGCAGGGTGACGCTTGCGTTAATCGTGCAGCCTGTAGGATCAGTTTCTTTGAAGTAACTTGAACTAACCTATACGTATTTCTCTACGTAGTCTAGTAGCCATGCCTTCGCCGGCACAGGCAGCATGTGAAATCAACGTAGTTCCCGTAAAAGATGACTAAGGTCTGACAAATCTCTGATCATGATTACTGGGGTCATTGAGCCTGAAGCAGAGCTCAGAAAAAGATGCATTGGGACTGCCGTAGACGAGAGACAACCCCGTACTGCACACAACGGGCTATCGGAATGATTAGAATCGAGAGGTGCATCATAACTGTGATACTCACAAGCCTTTCTAAACCTACTACAATCTATGCTGTACGCGTAATCTACAAAACCTATGATGACCTCATAAACGACCCTAGTGTCATACTAATGGACATCCATCCACTTGTAGCATCAAAATTCAGTTTAACTATTTAACGACTCTTCTTCTATCGACGGACCGAACTGTTTCTGGCCGAAACGCAAACTTCTATCTTAATCTGTGAGGTAATGAAGTACTGGCGAGCAGTAAAAAGTGTTTCACAACGGGAAACAATCCTACAATGAAGCTCATAAAAATACGCTATTAAGCTGATAAATTTCAGTCCCTTCACCACCGTTTTCTATGATCAATGAATTGATTATCGTATTATGCTCCACTGTCCTTATTTCATTCTCATATAAACACTATACTTACTTATATACATATATATATATATATATATATATGTATGTATATAAGTAAGTAGACAGCAAATCCTCATTGTAGTCAGCGTAATTACTCTGTAGACCCCGCATAGTAAATATTACAGTGACCGTATACATGTTCGCATCGTAGATTTAAACGGTCCGACGATATAATTCGCTACGCGAAAAGTATTCGGACCATTTTCAATACTTTTGTCGCTAGTCATTCTATCGATAGTTCTACAATATTTTATTTGACTCCTTGGATATTCTGTAGATCTAATTATCTGGCAGTCGACCTTGTAACCTTTGCCTTTCACCACGTAATGTTAGCACCGTTGGGCCTTGACGTGGAAGCGCGACATTTTTATGACAGGGAATAATAAAGCTCGTAACACTCTGCCTGAAGTTTAATAAAATGGCCTAATTTAACCTTTAAACCAGCAAAATCAAGCCCCATTGCATATCCAGCTTTATCAAGCGTTTGTTGAGTAAGTACTACGATAGGCAGACACACGCACATAAACACATAACACGTATCTACCCAGCTAAAGCAGACCCTAATAAAGCATTCATCTACTACCGATGTATCGCTAAAAACAAACGAGTAAAAAATGATTGGTCTGACATCATATCGCGCCCTCCGTCAACTCCTTCCTCCCGAATCCACCGGTCCTTTTCAGTCTTCTCAGGTTTTTTTCACGTTACCTGAACTACTGAAAGCGATATCAAGTAACCTTATGAGCAGTAGCAGCAGAAACACGCGCATATCACGCCAACAACGAAAACAAATCGAAAGGCACCGGAACGCAGACAAATAGATCGCGAGAGAAAGTAGATAAATCGCATAATTTCACATCACAAAAACGATAATATAGGCAATCTTGAGCATCGGGGCAACTCGTCACTTCATCAAAACGGACCTGCTGCAGGCTGACCACGTAACGGCGGGAACGATATGTGATGCACCAGCATCATCGGAGGCAGGCAGAGATCTTCTACATGAAACATTTTATAGCCGTGCCTCATTTGACTGCTGTTAGGTGCGAACGATGGATAATGCGCACGGGCACAACAGGAGACGATTGCTGTGTAACTGTGTTTATGTGTACATGTAGGAAGCCGTGTATATGTTTCTGCATAAATATGTTGAAATATGGTAAGAACAAGAAAAAAACGAGGCGTTCAGACAACAAAACGATCGAAAAGAGCCGCCGCGATACTGATCATAATGATCCAGTGGCAATGGCCAGTCGTTCCGTTCATCGATGCGATGTCCGAACGATGATAATAAACCATCTCGGATATATGGTATATACCATATGTGCTCAGATATATAGTATATACGGGACATTGTGCTTACGACGTGCATTTTTAGAACAAGATTCCCTTCCGCAAGATGCATTGGAGATAAAAACGTGGCATTGGCCAACGATTTTTAGGACACAATAATAAGGGTAAGATAGTTGGCTATGATCGGCTGTTATCTGTGTAAAATATGACTGTATGGTTACGAAACTGTTCGCCTTTTCTAGTTAACTAAAACGGAAGTTGTAGCCTCCTTCACAAATTGTCACGAAGTATAGCCATTACATCTGCTAGTATTGTTGGTTCCATCGGACTGGTACTTAACCAGTACAAAAGTACCACACTGGTACTTTTGTTCAGCGCCTTGCTTATCGTCACGGAGGGTTGCCGTTGCTGTGTGCAATTAATAGGTGCTCTGAAAATTTGTCATTTTTTTGCCGTATTTATATTTTTGCCGGGATTCTCTAAACTCGTTTGCGCTATAACTTCTGTAACTTAACATTTGCGGTATTGAGTGTTGTTACAGTTGTTGTTACAGATTGTTATTACATTTCGTTGACGTTATGGATACTCCGTCGTCTAACACTGTGTCTCGTTGTTACCGCCGCCGTTATTGTTATGCCCGTTGTCATGCCATGCCAAATTGTATATGCAAACAAGATCATTTACGCCAACTGTTACCATCTTTTCTGGTCGATCCTTCGTTTCGTTACTGGTTCTTCGCGAGTCAGCTCGCTCAGCCACTTCGCTCTGGACCCGTTGAGGCTTCGCTGTTTATCTTAACGACATAAGAATAGCATTGACACAAGGACGCAAATATAGATACGATGGTAGGCGTCTGACGACGTACAGCGCTCACCGATCGCCGCATATTTCCATACAACCGTATTTGCAATTGGAACCGCCTGCTTACGCTTCAGAGCTGTGCTTATCCAGTTTTCTGAAGGAAATGACAAAAGCAGCAATATTGATCCGGGTTCTTATCATTACCAACACTGTTACTATTAGAATTAAATGGTTATTGTGATCAGTCTACTTGATGTTTCGGATCCTGTCACACACACACACACGTTCTTGTTACAGCCGGCGGGCGACACGGGTATGGAGCGCACGAAATGGTCACTAAGAGATATTGTCACCTGATCAATGATAATTGTATTACACTCGATCGGATATATTACCCGGACAAAACTTACCAGCGTTGTTATTCGCTCTTCCTTTGTAAACTTCTAACCGACCACTAAATATATTAAGACGATATAAAAGTGTGACCTGGCACGAAGCGGAAACAAGTACCGAAGAGAAATATGATTCACGAAGGCCCTTTTATTTACATAAACAGCCTGCGACGCTGGTCATGATCGTGACACAATTGTGCGTTAACGCGATAAATAGACATTATTCAACGGGTCGCTTGGAATCGTGGAAGCATGAGCTGAGAGCACGTGCATGTGACAGTAGATTGAGTGACTCTAAATTGGATTATACCGACGAAACTCTGATTGAGATCTACATCTATCGGCCGTAGTAATTCTGGGTCGATAGAAAGTTTCAAAATGATTCAGGACAGGTAGCCGGCAGTGGCTTTTTGCTTTGTTTGACGCCTCAGCCCCCCGAACTCGGGCATATGCAGCTGGAAAACAATAAATGTATGAGTTAAATCATCGAACGGTTTGACAATAAAATTTGTCCTAAGCTCATCGGTCGCAAGCAGTACAATCTGCCAATCGTAGATCGTTTTCGTCGTCTACGCCCGGGTCGACGTCTAAGCCTTCGATCTAAATCAATCCTTATTAACTAGTGGCAGTACATTGGCTAGGCTAGAGTTTGCATTTGCTATTACTGTTACTATTATCACGCTACAGATAATTGTCAACGAACCGATCGTATAAACAAGTTGACAAACGAAAACATGTAGAACTTAAGCTTGGTTTGTTCTGCACTGATTCAATTTTGGCGAAAAGCTCGAACGAACAGGGATACGTCTACTAATATATGTTCTAAATTACCAGCAAAAGGAGCATCGATCGATTGCTGCCCCCCTGTGTCCTCGTGTTTATGTTGTCCCAATGTCACTATGGTGTAACGGGTAAATTATATGAAGGATCGATACGTCGTTCGTCAATCTATTTTTGTAATAGTGTGACACCGTTCATAACTGTGCGGGTAGTCTATAACACACGCTCCCTATAAGGAAAATATATGCTATACATACTATATATACTAACTGCTTTAGAGATGAACGCAAGAGAATGGGGTCTATAGAGAGTCTTGTTCGCCTAAGCAGTTGAAAATTTTCTCTCTAAGGGAACTAACGTGACGATGACACTATATCCACCTGTCAAATTGACAGCCTCTCTCCCCCCCCCCCCGGATAAAATTTATATAACCCTGCTATTTATAATCGTGTGTATAAATATTATAATAACGGCGATGGGGATCATTAATCTAAATAATTATTAATACATATACTTAAATTACCAACAGTTGGCACCGAGCGTTGATATATTATGTGACGCAAATAGCACACGCATGCATAGGGAGGGGGGGGGGGTACGTTTGGCTAGTAACAAGAGAAATTTCAATGTGATAAAAACAATGAAAACTCAAGATTTCAAGAGTTCAGCAAATTTCACTGCGGCCTAAAAGGTGGCCAAAAGACCGTCCGTGTACGTGGAGAAGAGGGTAAAACATCTCGAAAAAAGCAGGACCACTCCGATCAGTCGTTTGTGCCTATTTCAGCGTATGTAATTGCGTTCGTTGAAATTCTGCCAGAAAAAAGACAAATGCACCATTTTTAAGAAGAGAAGTCAGCGTATAGAGGAGATATAGCGCCAGTAAGTGGCTCTTTTGGTTTATATGTGTCCCATTATTAGACCTGCTCTAGGATAGCATGTACTTGACTAGATCGTACTCACGGAGTTAACTTTATTTCTAACTAAACTATTGATTGTACATTCAGTGTTAGAGCTTTGATTCTCCATATTGGTATAAAAAATCATTAATAACAAAAAAGTTTTTTCCATTTGCATATGGTAAGATGGACGTCAAAAGTGAGGCCAACTCGAACGGGATCGACCACCCTTATTTGCATGGGAAGCCCTTCTGTTAACCTGTCGACGGAACAAATCGTAGTAATGGGTACTTAACTTAATTACGGACCGATGTAACATTTACGCTAAAACTGCCACGGCAGACAGTTCTGTCGTTATGTTTATGACCGTTAGAAAGTTAATGTTACCTATCATATATCGAACACGGTAATAACAATCACTAGAATATAACAGCCATAAAACGTTGTCACCAAATAACGAAAATCGTTTATGTGCAGGCAGCCTAAGTAACTCGAAATCGGAATTCGCGTTTATCCATCAGTGTTTGTTTTTGGTCGTTTGGCGTCGCTCAGGGCAACCTAGAGCTTCGTTTGACCCTCACCTTACGCTATACTCGTTGTATTTGACAAGGTTTAACAAATTCAATGGCTTTCCTAATGATTCGATGAGAGCCACGTAATGATTCGAGAAGATAATTGGAGCACTTCATTTGTAATGAAGTTTTCCTTTGTAATGTAAAACCAGTACACGTAGATACAGTTACTGTGTGCTCCGCAGTAGCGTTCTCCAAACCGCAATAACATCAACAATGTCGTATTTGCCTAGCCTCAAAGACAGACAAATTGATATCACTCGTTACTTGCCGTACGTTTTCATTTTCTAGCTAGATAGAAACAGTTCAGCGTGGTGCGTCGATGTGTTTCTTCTGTTTATCTATCTGTTCGTGTGTGTGCTTTCATAATTTCCTACTAAGTCACGTTACTAGCTTCGCTAGGAGGCCGGCCCCCTGCTGCGGCCGTGACTATTGTTACTGCCACATGTACAACTCGATGTCTGCCGCTGCTGTAACTGCTACAGTTTTTCTGCCACTATCGTTGTCGTTTACAGCAGTGTTGTTATGCTATACCCTTCGGGCTCAACGTTCGCGCTCCCGTCAACTGTGACAAGTCCCCGCGACTCTTTCCTACCGCTCGGTCTCTTGTCCGCTTCCCATGCGACTGTCTCTCGGAGCATCGAGGCTCGTTGAATCCACGAATAAATACTGCGCCAAATTTCGCGTTAGCCAGCTCCGGTCAGAAGAACGATGGCGACAATGACGACCATATTGTTATCGTATTCGTAGCTGCCTGGCTTCGCTGGCCCAGCCATCGGCAACGGTATCCCGCGCCGTCAGGCATTCGACCAGATCAAATCGGCGGCTCGGTCCGCAATTTCATTGGAAACCGGGCAGTTCCGTACTGTTACTCCTGATCGCGCGAAGTTGGCGAAGAAATCCCCCAACGAAGTAAGGTCCGTTGCGCTCATCGGATTGGCGGGCTGAACAATCTTTCCCGGCGGCACTGTCGCCGAGCATTATTATCAGCTTGAGCAGGGCAGAAATTATATTACCGCTGTTTGCCCCCACTAGCATTAGCTCACTGCAAGTGCAGTCTTGGCTTTATTTATGCGCGTGTTTGTATCTGCGCGAGGTTTCTGTGAGAGTCGTGTAAGAGGATGATGCTACTGTCCGCCATTATGATCATTATTACTGATTGACGACATACATCATCAGATAACTGTATCCAAATGGTTTGCAAGTTTTATTTGTCGGCCAATATGCTACTGCTGTATAGAGACGGAACTATTTAGCTGTAAGGCGTGATTCCGTGACGCCCTTGACTTGCCATGTTGGCCAAAGAGACTGCGTTCACGAAACCATTAGGCAAAGCCCATATATCTAATGGTGGTGCTTCGTATACTCACCGAGTAGAGGTTCTCCTAAGTGTCACCCTTCCCAAAACTAGCAGAAATTATCGCAGCTGCTACCGAATCAGAGTTAGATACCAAATACGGCCCCGAACTATGGCATGATTAGAGCCCGAGTATCCGATATTAAGTATCTGTCGTAACTTCCATGAAGTGACAAACTTCACCCAGAAGTAGCTTCGCTCCTTTATAATAAAATACGTCTTGTGTCGTAGACTTCGGTGGTTTTGCTCAATTGATGTTCGTACTTCATCATCTGATCAAGCCTCTCCATGTTACCTGCACTCACGGATGGGTCTCCTGTCATCATGTCACGGTTACTTTTCTCATTTCACACGTGGTGTTTTTCTTGTCTCGCCTGTTGAACGTCCGATCGAGGCTATTGTTTCGTAATTAGCTATAATTATTTCTGTGCAGCACATTATTTTTCGACCAGCCAACATTTCGCTATAGGGAAGCATATGGGCCATCGCAAGATCAGTGTAACCTTTCCTTTCCCACAATCGGATCAAAATGATGGTTCTTCACTAACAAATTTGCGTTAGAGGGCTTACCAGTAGCGCTGGGCAACACAGCTCTATAATAATGTATCACAGGGTGACATCGCGCTCTTGCCTCATTACGCCATCTAGTTCCGTGTTGTTTTATTGGCCTGATCGCTAATTTCTCTTTAGTTACTTAGAACATTGTATACTTACTCTCATAACTGAACGCATTACTCAGCAGCGCTCGAAAGAGAATATTGTATACAAGATGCATGCATATTAGGATGGCAATGCTCATGCACGAACAAAAAGATCTGAGGATTATATGTACATATATCTATATATGAAAGCGTCCGGAGAACGCCTGGCAGCAGCAGCAGCAGCAGCAACGGGTGGTAGCATATGTGAGCTCCCTCTACTTTTCTCTGTCCAACATCAGCACTGCATTGCAATGAGAGAGGCGAGCAATGACAGGCACTATTACTACTAACGCCGGCAACGATGGCGTTTAACTTTTAATTTAAGCAATTAAGCTGTCATGAGCAAACACCCGGAGTCATCCCGAGTCGCCTGCTTGAGGCCGTTACTGGACGAGGGCGCGACGCCGCTTGCGCTCACGAGCGGTACTTGACAGGAACGCCATTGCTGAATTGGGACGATGAACGCCAAAACCAGGGATAATTCGGGGGTGGTCGAGTGTTGGAGAGGACTTCGGATGTGAGGGGTCTTACTGCTCGTCTTTGTCATGTTGTGAGTGGCGAGGAGAAGCGGTAGCTTGTGTGCACCATGTGAAATTCATACTGCTAAGACTTTACTCCGCTGTTTTCGTTATCGTCGTCACTGCTGCTTCTGGAATCCTCAGGTGGTGTTATCGTGAACAGAATGACTCTATGCGGTTCGTTGGCAAAGATTGTGGGGTTTGCGAGGAATAAGGGAAATTGTCAAGGAAATTGAAGGAGCAACCCAGGCTAAGGGCAGTGTCGAAAGCGGTGGGTGATGGCGCTAGAGCTCCATTGTACAAAACTTCTACGCCTGCGTAAATATTTACTTCGTGTTTTTTCATCGTACGCAGGAAGGCAAGGGATAAATAGTAATGAGAAAATGCAATGGAAGTAGGCGGATCGTGAAAGCTATAATTAAAAATGAACGGAATAATCAAGTGAATACTACAGATACACAAGCGAGCCGATATTAACGGCGGATTATTGGGATCAATCTTTTTTCGATAGAAGTTTCCAATAATACTAAGTAGATGGTCAGAAAATAGAGAATTTATTTATTTAAGTATACTGATCATAGAAAAACCTGAAAACATTGATGTATGACATAAAAAACGCATCATAAAATACTGCGTTGAACTGTGTTTTTAATCTGATGAAAGGAATCAGAGGGTCGCTACTTGAAGTCCCGCTAATAATATATACTTTATATACAAAGGTATATATAGGTAACCACAGTCATATAACTAATATATATCAAAGGTCAGGTTAAACAGGAAATAAAGCTTTAGAGGACAAATGCTGGATATCATCAAATTCTCTGCCAATATCCGTACGTAGATCAGCATTTTCAAAAAGGCTTTGGAGTAGACAAAAGAAGAGTCCTAGCATTTTTACTACACAGTGGTGCCCTTTTTACTGTCCGAAATGGACGTATGCTAATGGGCAATTTCTCATGTTTGTGCTTCAGGTGACATTTCCGGTCTTTGTAATAGCCCACCGTCATCGCCAAACTCATCGATCGACGATAAGCGTGTGCCATCGCTTCATGGTGAGGACTTCTTTGACGAAGGAGCCAATCGTCGCCGGCGAACAGCATTTACATCCGAACAGCTACTTGAACTCGAGAAAGAATTCCACTCAAAAAAATACCTCTCCCTTAGCGAACGGTCTCAGATCGCCCATCAACTAAAACTTAGCGAGGTACAAGTTAAGATTTGGTTCCAGAATCGACGCGCTAAATGGAAACGCGTCAAGGCAGGACTAAGTGCCGGTAGTCGTAGTGGTGGTCCCGATGGCCACAGTCGGATCGTTGTTCCTATTCCTGTACACGTAAATCGAGTCGGCATTCGAAGTCAGCATTCAGCCAGAGGACTTCACGAACCTGTCGGGTGAGTTGACACGCGATCATTGTTTAGCATATACGGATTTCGGTTCAAACCCCAATGTCCCCGAATAATAATTACACCAGCGACTTGTGTTGGTGAAGTTTGCTTATCGATTCCTTCTTGAAAAAAAAAAAAGATCTTATAATGAACGATGGTAACAAAAGGTCATGGCTTTGATTTTTCCAAGACTGTAATAAATTCGATTCTGAGCAGATGATACAAAGAATACCTAGAAGATTATTACCTTTTTTATGGGTAGTAGTTTCCACTCGTTAAGGCGTATTCATCGTTTACTGACTGTATGGATTTGACTGTTGTTTATTCTCTGATCTGTTTGGTCATCGTTTGAACATTGCTTTCGCTGTCTATCGATACCGTAACTATGGACAAATGGGAAGATTTACTCTGTTTTGCCATTTCGACAGCCACAGTAGCTCGTAATTTTGTTTGCACTGTGGTGGTGCGACCTATATTGGGCTGGGATGAAGGCCAACTCCGATGAAAATCGCTCTCCGCTTCAGCAACGCTACTTGTTGAGGTCTTCCGAGCAATTTGCCCTTGGGTAAGCTTTTCTAATGGCCGTAAAAGCAGTAAGGCAAATAGCGAAATCCTTTTAGTTTTCGTGTCGCGTCGCCCACACCAAAGTGGCGGCATAAGCTGATAGTGATATGAGTGCGAGGTCCACGCTGCGGGAGGAAAAAAGAAGAACTTCCGCTGTTTCTCGAGAATTTAGAACAAAGGGTAAACTCCTTCATTTACATGACGCGTTAACTCAACGGTCACCCGCTGCCTTCGTAATGTCGTCGTTTGAGAAAAGAGTGTTGCATGTGTGAATCTGATTCTTTATTTCCGCGATTGAAGGCGTTCCCTCAACGGTGTTACCGCTAGGACCGGCACTGCCACCACAATTTCGGCAACGTCAAACGCAGTGACAAGCCTTTTTCTATCATTCCGGGTTGCTGGCGCATGGTAATCGTCAGTGTCGATTTACTCGACCCTAATGTCGACGCGATTGCGGACGCTGCGGCAAGAGTAGAGCAATCGCCACCGTCCTAATCTCATTTAAATGCTCAACAGAGCCAGCTCGCCGCCACGCCCTTCAATCTCAAGTGAGTGACTTCGCGATGCCTGTGATTTGTGTGCCGAAGACGCGAAAACCTTTTTCCGCGCTGCCGAGGACATGAGAATGAGGATAACATCCCTTTTTAGCGTACACACACATATCTTACACATTTTGCATTAGCCGAAACGAATTGGAGCTTAAATCTTCCTTTGTAAAGGTTGCGTCGGCTGTTCATGTTAGCTACGCACACAGTTTTCCCTTAACATTCTGCAAGTTTGTCCTGCATTCTGAGCGACGAGCCAAATCGAGGTGATCTTTCCATTCTATGATTGTGAATCGTAGACGAGGAGGGTAAATGCAGTACTTGTTTCCTTCTTTCACTTATGGAGTTAGCCCCTCTTCGAAAGGAAGTCGGGCTAAGGGTGGGCACAATTCTATGAAGTCGCTGCCACCGTTTGAAAGACTGGTGTCAAAAAGTTGAAGCCTGTCAAGTGGAAACGATGGACTGTCATCCGCGCTACGGCCAGCATCCCAGGTCAGCGATCCAAGGGGTGGAGAAAGAAAAAGGGTGTCGCTTAACAAAACACGGATGGACTTCGGGCGGTAGACATCGAAAAGTAGGGGGCGACAGTCTGCGGGAAAAATACGAAAGCGGGGCGTAGACGTATCATCAACGATGATAGCTCGTCGGGCATTCTAGCGCAAAAGCCCCTAGTGTTACGGCGGTCCGGTTTAGACGATAAGCGCGAATTGTGGGGATAAGTGCAATCGACTGTAGCCGCTGTCTGCGTTATAAACGGGATTCTACTGGGTGAAAAAAGGAACCGCAAGTGATTTCGGGTGGACCTGCGGTGCAACGACTAGAAAAAGATTGAAGTTTTAAGAAGAAGTCATTTGAGAGGGTTTTTGAAGAAAAAAAAACGCCTATTTTGTATCGTTCCAAGCGTGTGTGTACGGCGATTGATATAATTGTGTTGTATGCTAATATGCCTATACGTGCGTTCAGACTGGCAAATGGAAGATAGCCAGTTAGATAAGGAAACGAACCTGGTCGTCTAAAATAGCAAGGCTTTTCTGCCAGGTCGAGTTGAATAAAATTATCTTTAGGACGGATAATTTCGATAACGACCCGGACTAAAAACACACGATGGTGTGGCTAACTTCATTTCTAAGCATATTTACACAAGACTAGATGGAATTCAACGACACTGTGTGTAAAACAATATAGATAGCTGTGAACTCGTTAATGTGTTTTTCCAATACGCTACATGCAAAAAACTCTAGCCGGATAGCAGATCACAGATCGAGGTTTGAAACGGCAAAAAGGTCTGGCAGGCGCAAAAAAAAAGTCAATGTTTGAACTTATCTGGATGACACAACACTTGATTGATATTTTCTGTTCTCAAATAGCCATTAATTTCAAAACGTTTTGTTCTAAGGACAACTGCTTTACCAGGAGTAGCGAATCAACGCTTGTCTTTTACAACAAATAGTTTTTATCCAATTCGAACGCGCTGCGCCGTGCCATAGAATGTTAATATTGTATTCACTGGGACAGATGGTCCCATCTTATTTTGATTATATCCGTGTCGAGCGATTTTCTTACAGTTGTGTAGTAAAAGGCGTTTGTTTGCGCGCACATACATACATACGTACGTACATTCTACTTAAGTGTACTGATACTTACACTGTACGTCGTCGTAACCTCCACAATGCTTGCTAACTATTGAGCAACATGTAAACGATGTAAATATACTCGAGGGGACAGTGTCCATACCCTTGATCCTTAGTTTGCCACTCGATCTGCCTATGTACAAATCAACTTATTTCTATCAGATTGTAGAATGAGCACAATCGTTAGCGTAGTCTGTGGATACGATCCTGTTTTTGATCCACCTCGAATCTTTGCACTATTGAAGTTCCACTATTGAAGTTGATTCCGCGTTATTTTTACCAGGAGAGATGTGGTTTATGTGAAGTCGGAGTTAGCGAGTAATATATCCGGCCGTGCGGAAGTAGATGGCTTGGCCTCGAGCAGCTGAATTATTGCGAATGAGGAGGACGCTTACCAATAATTCTTACCTTGGCTGCACTGGAAGCGCACCCTGCCTACCAGCAGCAATAGTGGCAGTCGCGGGCCGACAACGACCGATCGATTGAAGGCGTTCGATAGCTCGATGAAGCCACACCCAACGGAACCTCTCTGTGCCCTAAAGCTAGGAATCTCCACTTCGGTTTCTCCTTCCCTCCTCCTCCTCGTGACTCCTTCTCGTTGGCAGAGAAAAAAAAAGGCACCATAGTCAGTCTTATTGGCACGTTGAGGTCGTCAGGGGAGCTGCGCCAGTCTGATATTGTAATGGTCGGAAAACGTGGGGTTATTTTTGAAATGCGTCCGGTACGTGCATTCCTCGGATACGTTGACGTACTGCACATTATGTCAGATTACCCTGTTCTGTGAAATAAATGGACTACATTCGTAGTCAAATGAGATTTTTACAACTTAGTAATAAGATGTAGCTAACGCAACGTGTAGCAATAAATCCTTAATTATTCAACGTTTTCTCATGAAAAATAGAAGACAGCATCTTTTGAGCAATGACAAAGCGATCGTGTACGACTGTCTAGCTCGAAGCATCCAGCGTGCAGCAGATGACTCGCTCGTGACCGATTATCATAGCGACGATTCCTAAGTACCGCGAGGGCGTAAAGGCTTAAACACACTCAAATTCATACCCGTCCTTGACGCGTCCATGAGGCTCGCAAAAACTATTGAGTTGTAACAGTATCCTCGGTGTTTATCAAGCACCGCGCACCGTCCGCCCTTCAATCGTCGATTACTGAACAGTATTTTATAAATGGTACAAGTAGTACAAATTTGTGACTTCGGCATAATTACTATGTTACCTTCGATTAGGGGCCAGCGGGTCAGATTCAACCTACGATTTCATCTAGAACAGATTAGCACGTGTCGGCTGGAGAGAAGATACAGGTAACACAACTGTCGGGTGGTAACGGGTACAGAATACACTGACCAGCCGTTTGACGACGACGGCGGCAGACGTAAAACTCGACATACTAACAGGGGTCGAATAGAAAAGGAACGCAAATTAGAGGTAATCTAGTAGTTGACGACTGGCTTTTCTCAACTTACCTCCAATTACTAATCCGGTTTTATTGGCGTCCATGTTGTACGAGAAGTAGTCACTAAATAATAGATACGTATTTCATGGTAAGTATCAATGCCGTGTCATATGTTTCTACTAGCGATGGCGACATACGGGAATGGCTTCTGCCTGTCATTGAATCGAGTTCATCTATTGCTTCTAGATGTCCTTCGGTCCCAGATCTACATACAACTCTATTGACGATTAGAGGTTCTTTAGTCAGCAAGATGCGTGTTTTGATAATTTCTTAGAAAGTATTAATGCTTTCGAATGATTCACAAAGAAAAAAGCGAAATATTAAAAAAAAATGTTCGGGAAATTTAGTTACGAACTAGATTTCGGGTCGGATTGGAGCGTGAGAATGTTTCCATTTCGCGTAGCGATCGGTACGTTGCGTCACACTGTGCCGCTGTTATGGCAATTCAATATAAAGGTGTGAAGAAATCGATGATATGAGTACACTGCGGACGTACGGATGTCGATGAATGGATGCACAACGGATTTACAATTGTTTTTTGCGATCCAATAAGGATTCCATCAACTTCTTTACATTTTACCTAATTAACGGTTATTTCAGTTGTCACTCAAAAAATGATGAAAACTCAAAAAGTGAGGGTTCGTAATCTTCAGCCACTTCAACCAGCCTCGTAAATTCGTCTACGCAGTGATTCTTAAGGGACCAAAGTTTTTAGTGACGACACTTTTTTATTGTGTACATACACACGCACGAATGCAGGTTTTTGTACGAGACTGGTTGTCATACATGTGCATCTTAC